TCTCAGGATTCCACCTGTATCGGTTCACCTAAATCAAAATTATATAAAATTTAGTACAACAACACAATCTTAATTCAAAATCTCAGAATTCCAAATTATATAAAATTTAACACGTTGATGGACAGTTGCGTCTATAGCCGTAAAGTTCAAGTTCACTATGTGTTGTTCACTTGTTTCTACTGCCCGTCAACGTGTTAATACACATACGTACAAATTTCCATTAAAACCTTCATTATGCAATCCAATGGGAATCTTATTACCCAATATGAGGATTCAAGCTCTATCGGTTCACTCTAAATCCAAATTGTGCTACATTAGTAGACATTTCCAAAACTTCCTACATACCTCAATCCAAAACCCCTGTAGTCCTAATTTCAAATATCAAGATTTCAGCTCATCAGTTCACCAAATTTGGTACCACTTATTACACATTATTACAAATGTACAAAACGTTCAATAGCCCAATCCTACACCCCAAGAGTGATCCTAACTTTGCATTTCAAGATTCCAGTTCTATCGATTCACCCAAATCAAAATTTGGTACCATTTAGTACAAATTTCCAAAATTTTCTACATATCCCATTCCTACACCCCATCGATGATCCTAACTCCAAATTTCAAGATCCCAGCTCTATCAGTTCTCCCAAAAAAGGCAAATTGTACCAAATTTAGTACAATTAAGTACACATAAGTATGAATTTCCAAAACTACTTCCATACCCCAATCCTACATTCCAACAGTAATCCTATTTCCAAATTTCAGCGTACCATTTTGTACACATTAGTACAAATTACCAAAACTTCCTACATATTCCAATCCTAAACCCAAACAGTGGCCCTAACTCCAAATAAAAAATTTACAAGACCACGTACATATCCCAATCCTACACTCCGACGGCAATGGTAATTTCAAATTTCAGGATTCCAGCTTCATCCGTTTGAAAATTCAAATTGTAGCTAATATAGTACTGTTTAGTAATTTTCGTATACACGCTTCCAAAGCCAGGTCCTTATATCGACACTACTTCACAACCTTAATTCGCATTCCAAATTTCAAGTTTTTAGCTCTATCCATTCACATGCTACGAAATTGTACATTTTAGTACTTTTCGGATACTTATAGTTCGAATTTCCAAAAAAACTCTTTGCTATATCTATTATGCACTCCATAAATGACCCTCATTTTAAATTTAAGAGTTTTAGCTCTACCGGTTCGCCAAATACTAATGATACCACATTTAGTACTTTTCGTACCGTTCTAGTACGAATTTCCAAAAACCTAGGCTTATCCGACACCTTTGGACCAAGAGTGACCCTCACCTAAAATTTCAAGATTCTAGCTTCGGCCGTTTCGTCTGGGCGTTGAGGAATCATTAAGTCAGTCAGTCACTTTACTATTTTATTAGTATAGATTGCTTCGATCGACCTTGTTCATCAATCAGTGTTGGCTCATTCGACAACGTCTATGGAATGATTTCCACACTAGCATAAAACCACAATTTGTGTCTTATTATGATCAGATCGATTGGCATACTCTCGACTAAGTATTAACGGATGCTGCATAACCAATGTCTCCACGACTTCTAACTTAAGGCTTGGGAGAACAGAACACTGTTTTGCACCGCTATGGCTACTGACTTATCCTAAATTAACATACTATGCATATGTGGGAGCAATAGTCTACGAACGTTTCTACTAAAACGTCTATACAAATTGTCCTTATTTGTTGGATTATGTAATGAAAAAAAAACAAATATATATTTGTTATATATATATATGTTATATATATAATATATATATATATATATATATATAACGATGACAATAAATGACAATTCGTACACTTTAGCTCGTGTTGGTTTTTGTTACTTTTCAAATGTCAATTTATAATGTACCGGTATTTTTATACCCTCAGCCTTATGACTAATGAGGGTATATACACTTTGATAGGGTAAATATGTGCCTCATTGATAGGGTAAACATGTGCCTCGATTTACACATGTCCGTCCGTCCGTTGTTTGTCTGTCTAGCTAGCTGGTGCGCACGATAACTCTAGAAGGGAATAATCGATTTCAACCAAACTTCGCACATCTTTATTTCTTCCAAACTTAGTTTAAGTTCGAAGATGGGGAACATCGGCCCACTCCTTTTGGTACCTCACCCACAAAATGGTCAAAATTGTGCTAAATATTAATTTTATAATAACATGCACTAAGCCTAGATAAAGAAGGAAGATGGGACCCATTGATCCACTCCTTCTCGTACCTCCCCCACAGAGGGTCATATATTTAAAAATCTAATATCAGGCTAATGGAATGTCCGATCTAGACCAAACTTTGCACAACCTATTACCTTTACCAAGCCTAGATCAAGGCTTTTGACAAAATGGTAAAAATTGTGTTAAAAATTAATTTTATTATAATACGCAAACGGACTATTCGATTTTAACAAAACTTTGTACAACTTATTATCCTTACCAAGCCCAGACTAAGTTTGAAGGTGGGACCCATTGGTCCACTCCTTTTGCTACCTCCTCCACAAATGATCGAAAATTTCAATATTTATAAATTCAATAACAGGCGATGGTAATGTCCGATTTTAACCAAACTTTGCCCAAACTATTATATTTACAAAGAATAGATCCAGTTTGAAGATGAGACCCATTGATCCACTCTTCGGGTACCTCCTCAACAAAGGGTCAAAATTCTCAATTATTAATAAATACAATATCAGCGAATGGAATGTCCGTTTTGAACCAAGCTTTGCACAACCTGTTATTTTTAGGTGGACCCGTCTGCCCTCTCCTCTGGTACTTCCTACAAAAAGGGTCAATATGATATATAATATTTGATCAACATAAAATCCGAAACAGCTTTAATTAAACATAGTCTTTATATAAAACGAATAATAAAACCTATGTATAACTCCGAAGACCTCCTCCGAAAACCATAGGGTGAGAGTATATATCTGGCTGACATTTGTTTACTTGTTTTTATTGAGTTTGGATTAGATATCGACTTAGTGTGTTCTCTAAGGAGTTTATGTGGGTGTTCCAAAATAATTCATATGTAACCAAGACGTGAGAAAAAAATTCTTGGATCAGTTAAGAAAATATAAACCTAAAACTTTGTAAAAAAACTCAAAAATAGAAAATCGAAGGATTTGAGAAATTTAATTTGGTCTGATAAAACTAAATTTAACCGTTTCCAATCAAATGACAAATCGTAAGCCAAAGTGTATGACATTGGGGGAAGTTTGATGGTTTGGAGGTGTTTCACATGGTGGAACTTTATGATAGAAGGTATTTAAACAATATAGAAATCTAAGCTCACCTCAAGAATTGAAATTCGCTGTCTAACTAACACAAACCAACATGGATGAACTCTGTCAAAGAGCACAAGAGGAATGTAACAACATCCTATAAAAAAATTGTGGAGAGTATGCTAAAGCACATTCAATGTGTAAAAAAAGGAACAAATATGATGGACAAAATATTAATAATTGTTTAGCATTTTGATTTTTTTTCTTATACGTGCAAAAGTTTCTTGATATAGTCTTTTAAGTTTTATTATATTAAAAATGTAATATAATTAATAAGTAACTACATCTGAAACATTTATATTGGGATCTCATTCATTAAAGATTTTATAAGGGTTGAAGGGAGGAATTCGCCAACATTCGTACACTTATGCTCGCCACTGTATTTATTTTCGACGAGAAGCGTGATTTCCGATCACTGCAACATTTGAAACAACAAATTAAACCCTGTTCGAGACTCAATTCAGTACGCTATGCCAAATGTAAATGTCAGTCGGACAAACGTTTGGTTCGTAATCTATCTGAAATTGGAAAATAGTGTAATAATTAAATACTTATATTCTGAATAATTTTTCAAGTTACAAATTTATTCTAAAGATCAGCGAAACATTTTTATATAAATATGCATATCCATCTTGCTTGTAGTTATCAAGCTTCCATACTAAAAAAGGTACAAACATATATATATATATATATATATATACATTAGGGTTATTACTTTTTGACTACTTTTCCCAATAACGATTTCAAATATTCATACAATGTGAGCGTTTGCCTATTAGTGACTAAAGGTTACGCCAAATTAATTTGGAAATAGGATTTATTGAAAAACATATATATTTTTTAATTATACATACCCAAAACATCTACAAAAAGCTACAAACATATGAAATTAGGTCATTGATCATAAAAAGCGATGAACATTTAATTTTAGGTAAAATGTAAAAAGTCATCAAAATATTATACAGGGATATTATACAGAGGTTGTAAAAAAGTCATAACCCTAATGTACATACATAAATACATACAGTACAAATTTAATATTCATTTGATTTTGCATTTATAATTTGGGTTTGAATATATTGACCTGTTTTCGATAAAATCTAAGCCCAGTTTACGCCATCATCTATTCTAAAAGATGTACAAGAAAACATTTAAAAATATAGATTTTTACAATAGAAAAGGACATTTTTATAATAGGGAATGTTTATGGTATAACCGATATAAAATTCAGACCAGTTGGGGTTATTAAAATTGCGAAATATGTATTTGATGACATACGTAATTTTGCACCCGCCAGAACATTAGCTCCAGTTTGTTGAGAAATATTACTGTATCAACTTCTATACTGTAATTAAAAATATTATTAAATATTAGATTTGGAAAAAATTCAAGTTATTCATACAACATAAATTACACCAAATGGAAATCAACGAATAAATTAAAATTTGATTTGAATCTTCCCTTCCACTTGTCACTGTATTTTTTCACCGTCGGTGCAATGCGCCTGTGCAAAAAAATAAGGGTAACATCTTTCACGTTTAGTCAAAACAAAAGACAAGCGATAATATTGTTTAATGCTATTTTGTTGATGAGCTATGAAATCAGTGCCACATCAGCTGTCGAGAGGAACTCATCGACATTTTAATACAAAGAAGTGCAGTGAAAACAAAGCTTAACGCAATGATTGAAAATGGACTGTTAAGATTATGGTGTATATTAGGATTCCTGGTATCGGCATATGCCACGTATGTCGAAATAAATTTAATTCTAAATAAAGATTATAAGGCACTGTGCGACCTTGGACCGAAAATAAGTTGTACAGCGGCATTCAGTTCAGCGTAAGTTTAAACTGTTCCAAATTGTGTCAAAAATGAAATGATAACTAAAAATTATTTATTTTATTTCTTAGTTACGGCAAAGGTTTTGGATTCTTGAACAGTGTAACTTCAACTTCTAGCATATGGTCTAAATGGAATCCACCAAATGGCATATTTGGTCTGATATATTATGCCGCTTTATTTGCAACAGGTAATTTTCGAACAGTTAGTCATTTTAAATTATGATACACTAAAATATTAAAAATCAACAAGTTAATACTGCTTGCGAACCGGCAAATAAAACAATGTCAATGACTTTGTTATGACTAGCAATTAGAACATTTAAAAGTGAATATAAATTGCTAAACAGGCTTTAATTTTATTCTTAATTTAAAAACAGACATTTCCCTAATGAGAGAGAAATTTTAAAATTCTATATATTTGGATGAAATATTGACACAGCACGTAACCAAACATGGCTTGCTGCAAATGAGCGATATGTCGATATAGCCATGGTCAATCTGTGATAATCACACTAACACCCTAACATGTGTCATTTTATAGGTGTAGTTCATAAATGACGGTGACTCTCGGTTTTCTTTAAACGTATTTTGACAATTTTAAATGTTTTAGAAAAAACTCTTGGAAATTGCCACAAATTCAAAATCCCATCCCCAAATCGAAATAATGAGTGCTCGCATTTCACCGATTTCATCGATAATTTCTGGTTGTAGAGACCGACAAGTGAGGGACAAAAAGGACTACTTTATACCCAATATCTCTATGGAAATATATGGTATCTGCAAATGTTATGAGTGAGCACTCAAACTAATGTTCCTGTATGAATACCGGTCAGTCTGCTGATTCCCCATTAATTTAGTGTTATGATATGTTTTGTCATATCCTCATTTGAGTCTCCCCGTATCATTTTCCGGTTTTTTTTCCAGAGCCCTCGCTATTTCAAAAAAGGTTTGACATTATTTACATCTATTGGGACCGCCCCCGAAATGAAATCCTGTGTACGTTGCTGTTCTGGCCAGAGTTTGCACTAAACCCGTTCAGAAACTCTGTTATTGCCTGTAAGATCGTATTGTGATCTGGTAGGCGAAATGAAATTTCGGTTCTCGTTACCAGGAGGCATATTTGCTAAAGTTCCGCTATCCCATGAGTCCCTGTCTTATATCATAGTTTCACATGCTGTGACTACACTTATTTCAGATATTCGGTCAGATTATATTTTGGTGCGTTTTATTGTGTCCGATGTCGATCCACTCGTTCATACCTTTAAGTCTTAAAGCTGCGACGGTCGCATATTTGAATTGGATGTTAATATATGTAAAATATAGTCCTCATTGCCCCAAATATACCTAGGCAGTATATTTTCTGGACTTTCTGTAAGGATTTTATATTACATTTTCCGAGGCGTATGTTTAAATTTGATTAATTGGATTAAAACCCCATTTAAAGCCTACAGTTCTTTTGCAGAAAGACCAGCATATTTGGACTCTGTCTAGGATAATTCGCAGATATTTATTTTATACCCTTCACCACACTGTGGTACAGGGTATTATGTCTTTGTGCATATGTTTGTAACAGGCAAAAGGAATCGAGGTAGACCCATGGTTCCATTTGAGTATATGCATAGAATCACTTTCTGAGTCGATTTACGCATGTCCGTTTGTCTGTCCGTCCGTCCGTCCATGTATTTTTGTTAACAAAGTACAGGTCGCATTTATGATCCAATTTGGATGAAATTTGGCACAGTTCACTTATTTGGCTCAAGGACGAACCCTATTGAAATTGGAGAAAATCGGTTCAGATTTAGATATAGCCCCCATATATAGTTTCGTTCGATTTTTTGTGAATAATGCACCAAACTCCCAATATTTGTCCAATTGAGACAAAATTTTGCACAGAGTATTGCATTAGATCCAGACCGATGTCTGCGAAGTTTTTTTTAAATACGTGATAAAGTTTAATGATGCGTGATAAAGTTTGTTGAAATCGGTTCAGATTTTGATATAGGTCTTATATATTTTTTCGTTCGATTTTATGTAAATGGTGGTTACACGAAATTTGGCAGAGGATATTAAATTGAATATAGTGATTATAAAAACAAATGGTTTATGCAACGGTTACTCTATTAGGTCCATGTGTTTATATATAGCTCCCACACATATTTTGACTCGATTTCATACAAATGTTACACAAAGGAATCCAAGTCTGTCCGTTTGACGGGCAATTTTTCATTGATTTCAGAATGCTATGGTCTATCTACAGGATATTGTAGATATTAACATGTCTTACATGTACCCAAAGTGGTGAAGGGTATCATATAGTCGGCCCCGTCCGATTGCTGAACATTCATTACTGGTTATTTGATATGATCATTACTTTGTTTTTAAATATGGGTATTTCTTACTGTATTTTGCAGCAAACATATATATGTTTGCAACAGTCCCAAACATAACATATGTTTGCATCCAAACATATATATGCTTGCACCCAAACATATATATGTTTGGATGCAAACATATGTTATGTTTGGGACCCAAACATATGTTATGTTTGGGACTGTTGCAAACATATATATATTTGCTGCAAAATATGTTTGGGACATATGTTAGAGAGGCGATTTTTTTCCTCCGTGTAGTGAAGAGACATATCTTCGTAGTGACCGGATTTACGAAGCCGGGGGGCCTTAACCCTCGGAACCACAATTGTTAATATTAGATAAATGTTCAATATCCCAAACGATATCAAAGAATACAATAACGTGCCTACTATTATGCATAGCAAATCTCGCCTCTGTAGTGCCTCATATCAGTATTCGTTTAAGATGACATCATCCTCTTTTGTGTCAGTCATTTTTGAACTGCCAGACTTTATAGAAGATTCCGAGTCTGCGCTCGTCTTCCGAATACTAGAGCTAGTTTTCCATTCTATTTTTTTGAGTTGGGGTCATAGTTTGTTTTGGTTCCTAAAATATTTATTCTGCTTATAAGAACGTAGAACAGGTCTTGAATGGCGTATTTTTATGTAAATATTTAATTACGAAAATATTATAAAAATAAAATATTATGTTTCTACCAATAATTTGTTTGTTTGTGTTTTCTTGCAGCAAACAACAACCAAACTCTATGTCGTGTAATTCAATTCATATTTTGCATCTTATCCAATCTGATGTCCATATACCTAGCCTATATACTCTACATATTGGATGATATATGTGTGGTGTGTATTTCCATATACGTAATCAATTTGCTGTGCTTGTGGGAAATGCTAAGAACTGACAAATGGACACAATATTTTCGCATTCGAAGAAACCAGTCCTTAAAAGCAGACTAAACTACCATCTCTTGTAAATTGTATATATTGTATTAAATAAACACTGTTTAATTGAAAATGGTTTGCAATTTGAACATTTTGTAATCAACCACAAATTTCAATCGCCAATGTCTATCTATCGCTGTTGTCATGCATAATAATTTGTAAGTAATTGCCATAAATTATCCCCAATTACAGATACGATTACCAACCTATTTGCCATGGACCCCAAGTGTAAATGTGCCAAAAATTAGGTTATTTCAATGATAGACATTGAATGAAGCAGCAAACAACAACAGTAGTGCAGCACATTGAAGCTATCCCCATCCTTATGATCCGTCCCAGCTTACAATATATATTCCAACACGTACTTTGCCGCTTTAAATGGTGCTTTTCAAAATCAAATAACGTCAAATCAATGACATTGTTTCAATTTTATGTCTTTTGAAGACGACTTACTAAAATAAGTACCATAAAGGGGTTTGCATACACTCGAAAAAAATCAACTGCGGATAATATGAAAGTGCCGATGACAGGAGAGAGTTTATCTACCATTGAGGAGATAAAAAAATCAAAAAAGGAGCTGTTGGCCATAAACCTTCAAAGTACCAAGATATGAGCTACGTGGATCTTTTGCCAAAAAGTGGACTCATATTGCCAAAAAATCCCAAGTCGGCAGATTACAGCTACTTCGTTGGAAATAGACGAAGACCTTTATATGGGTGACATGGACTTATGCTGTCAATTTTTATATCGTCGACCATTAGGTGGGAATTTGGCAATCTGTTTGCAACACCTCAAAATATTCACCATAGATCCCATAAAGTACACATATACTTGATCGGAATAAAATTCTACGTACATTTAAATCTATGCTCTCTATATTTAAGATATAGCCATGAAATTTTGCACATACATTGCTATTATTTCTAGGATTTTTATACCCTTCACCACACTGTGGTACAGGGTATTATGTCTTTGTGCATATGTTTGTAACAGGCAAAAGGAATCGAGGTAGACCCATGGTTCCATTTGAGTATATGCATAGAATCACTTTCTGAGTCGATTTATGTATGTCCGTCCGTCCTTGTATTTTTGTGAAAATCGGTTCAGACGTAGCTCCCATTTATAGTTTCGTCCGATTTTTGGTAAACAGTGCACCAAACTCCCAAGGATTGTGCGATTGATACAAAATTTTGCACAGCGTATTGAAATAGGTATAATAGGTATTGAAATAGGTCGGAAGTTTTGCGTAAATCGGTTCAGATTTAGATATAGCTGCCATATATATTTTCGTCCGATTTTATCTAAATGATGCACCAAACACATAATATTTGTAGGATCTAGACAAAATTTTACACAGCGTACTGAACAAGGTCCAATTTAATGTTTGAGAAGTTTTGATGAAATCGCCCCATTCTATTCCAATGGTCCTCTAAAGATTATATGCTACAGGATATTGAATATATTAGCATGTCTTGTATGTATCCGAAGTGGTGAAGGGTATCATATAGTCGGCCCGTTCGACTTTTGAGCTTTCCTTACTGGTTTGTATCGAAAAGGGATTAAATCGGTCATCGAAATATTCGGTAATTTGGAGATGTTTTCATCTAAATAGGCTGTAAGTTCCCATTGGGTAGCAAATCTCCATACCAAAAATTATCTATATTGGTCCACTTTTTGTGATAGCTCCTATATAACGGTACTGTCCTTTATTCGGTATTTTGGGGAGTTTAGAGCGTTTTTCAATCAAGTTGGCTAAAATGTAGTATTTTGAGTTCTCATTTGGTATTATCGATATTTGTTAATTTTTTAAAACAGTCCCCATTAACAGTATTTAGGGAAGTTTGAACACGATTTTTTAACTCAAAAATTCCATTGGGTAGCAAATCTCCCAACCAAAAATTATCGATATCGGTCTACTTTTTAGGATACCCTCCATATAACGATATCCCCATTATTCGGTATTTTGAGCACGTTTTTACCCGAATGGGCGAAATCATTCTACGAATAACTTTACAATGGTATACCCTTCAAATTATGAGGTTCCCGAACGAGTACTTGTAAATGTCCACCTCATGGTGGAGGGTAAAAAAGTTTACAAAAAAATGTTATAAGAAAATGTAACTAATACCTACAGAAGTTTTAAACAGACAACAGATAATTGAGTGTACTGTAAAGTAAAGTGCTGCGGGAAAATCTCACAAACCTCCTGTGCTGCTACATCTGGTCTAGGCTGATCTGCCAGACACAAAGACGAGAAGATGTTACCTTGCCATACATAACCATTCACACATACATACATTTGAACATATGAGGCAACCCAGCAGCAACAGCACCCAGAAAAAAATGGTTACCAAGGATGGATGATGGAATAGACGAGGATCGTTTTGATTTTGTTTTGTTAGGGTTGTTGGTTTATTTGTTTTTGTACTTCTTTAGAGATTTAATTTATGAGATCACGATGTTTAGTGACAATTTACATAAAAATAAATTTTAGCAAATTTCCTAAGCTTTACAAATAAATGTAAGGTAGAAAAAAAAAACAACAACAAAATTTATTTTTTGCACATACATATGTATGTCGGTACATCTGTGTAAGTTTGCATTTTGAGGATGAAATAAAAACACAACGATTTAAGGCTCTTCAAACCATCCATTTTTTTGTGGTCGAAATCACATAATCGACACACTCTAAAAACAGCCATAAAGTTGGAAAAACTATTTCTCAACTCCATTCCTTTCAACAGAAACATTAAACAATGGTAAATATATTTAATTTGCCTAACCGTCAAAATAAAAAGATGATGATTTACTTGAAGCCGTCCGTTTTGTTTATTCTTAGCTTCGCTGCATTTCGGAGGGACATTCATAAATAGATGAAGCAATGCACTAATGCGCGATTTATTTCAGTTTTACATAAAGCAAATGGGAATAAATGATGCCGTTAAAGTGTGTCAAATAGATTTGGCCATATTCAAAATATTTTTTTCTTACTAAATCCCAATACTAATCAATTTGATAGGGCTTCTATTGAAGAAGATGGAGTGTGAAATTTTTGTATTGCCAACACCATTTAAAAAAGTTTTTAAAAAATGTATGCTGGTAAATTGCTGTCAACTTTGGTATAATATACGATTTCGAGCCTGTAGGACATATTTCTCCTGATCGTGTATGAACAACACACTGTAAGAAAATTATACAGTATTGGAGTCATCCAAAAGAAAAACTGCCGGTATCGAAATACGGTGACACCAAGGACAATTTGACTTCATTTTTGAAATCGCAATATTTAATATAAAACTTTGCACACTACTTCTGAGATTATTGTTATTAAATATGGGTATTTGGTGGATCCTTTTAACCATTTTAGGTATTTATTTTATTCCACAGGATATAAGTGTAATTATGAGTTTTTGTAGACTGATAATTTCTTAAATGTGGTCTGCGGACTTTGAAATTAATCTGAATAAATAAATAACATTAAAAAACCTTCTGGATAATTAGTGTGCACTATAGGTAATTTGTCCTGTTTTTGGGGCAAAAATTAATAACAGCGGTTTTAAACGATTTTTTGACTTTTTAAATGATGCATATGTACAAGAAAGAGAAAACGCAGATTTCCACAGTAAAAACCGGATATAACGAAAAACGGTTATAAGCAACTACACATATAACGAACAAAGCTAATTCTTTCTCAGACATTTTCATTAGTTGTCTTATACACAACAAACCGTTGAAAACGATTAGGGTAGTAAGTTAAAAAAATGTCGACCCCCGAGAAGGTTTTTAAAGGAATAATTATTACAATGTCGTATGTTTTCGCAGAATGCATTAATAACGATTAATACAGTACCCATTTATACTCCTTAAGGACATAAATATGTAAAAGTGAGTTAAAACAATGCTTACTATAGTCGAACACGATTATAGTAAACACTGGATATACTGAACAACATTTTTTCATATGCCACTTTTTTTTTAATCTATCCTGAAAAAAGTAAAAAATATTGAAAATATTATTGTTTTTTATTCTGAAGTTCGCTACAAAAAACTGATATATCTTGATAAACGCAAAAAATCGCAATTTGAGACATATTGGAATCAACTTAGAAGGCTTTCATTAATATATTTCAATTGTCAAAAGATCAGACAAATTTAAACATTTTAGTAAAAGTCTATCTAAAATGACTTATGTGTAAAAAATAGACACATTTCTTTTATTATAGTCAACTATGTAAATTTTGAATCGCTACACAAACGTATTAACAAATATTATATATTAAATAAATAGCACACACCACCGTTAATACTCTCCATGTTTAATTTTTATGCTTATGTTTTGAATTTGGCGGTTTTAAACGCTTTTAAGACACTTACAGATTCATAAAATTTGACATGTTTTATTTTTAATGACATCAAAAAAGATTTTATTTTCCAAAATTGAAAAAAATGACTTTTTGCCCAAAAAACTGTCCAAATTATCTATAGTGGTGTGGAGAGGTGGCCAAGGCTGAAGTTAAAGTTTTTATATTGAATTTGTTTCAGTTAAATTTAATAATAATTTCTGCAGAACATTTCGTACATCTTCAAATTAATAAATTTTACAACTTTATAAAATTTAAACATTGACCCTTTCTGGGGGAGGAGTTGATCATGGCTTTGTAAAGATAATAGAATCACCCAATATTGAAGTTGTAAATATTGAAAATGTTGACCATTTGTGGGGGACTTGATCTAGGTTTGGTAAAGTTTGGTTCAAATCGATAATTCCATTCGCCTGAAATTGGATTTATAATTATTGAAAATGTTGACACTTTGTTAGGGAGGTACCAGAAGCAGTGCACCAATGGGTCCCATCTTCGGACTTCATCTACGCTTGGAAAAGGTAGTATGTTGTACAAAGTTTGGTTCGAATCAGATAATCCGTTTGAATGATATTATAAAATTAACTTTTTGCACAATTTAGGCCATTTTGTAGGGGAGTGGACCAATGAATTTCATCTTCATACTTGAGCTAG